AAAATAAGTTTCTTCGAATATATTTTTGAGGTTCCCTGTGGCGACTGTCAAAAATATAAGGGAATTAATTATCTTATGTAACAGTCGGCTTATGGGAAGGTCGCTTGTTAACTTTTATGATATCTCTTGCTTTTTCTTTAAAATGGAAAATATTTAAATTCTCTTTGAACTCTGTTCATGCAATGGCATCTATCCATCTGTTTGTTCTGGCTTCAGTCAAGCTTTCATCTTCTCTTGTTATCACAATTGGATCCTACTCATTGAACCCGCTCTTGACTTGTATTATGGAGGTTCTCGATTCGAATATTGGCAGGAACACAAGCTCGCTCACTCATGGAACTGAGTCCTTCTTGAGAAACCACCAGTCGCTTGTCCACTCAAGAATTTCCCAAAAATTTAAGGGGGCCGAAAGTTCATCGCTGTGCTCACAAGAGCCCTCCACTGGTTCCTGTCCTGAGTCAGATAAATCCAATCCATACCATCCCATCCTATCTCTCTAAGATACATTTTAATATTGTCCACCCACCTATGTCTTGGTCTTCCCAGTGGTTTCTTCTGGCTTTACCATCATTATCCTATACGTATTCCTCTTCTCCCCCATCCATGCTACATAACCTGCCCACCTCATCCTCCTTGATTTGATCATTCTAATTATACTTGGAGAAGAGTACAAGTTATGAAACTCCTCATTATGCAGTTTACTCCAGTCTCTTGTCACTTCACCTCTCTTCAGTCCAAATATTCTCAACACCCTGTTCCCAAACACTCTCAGTCTACGTACCTCCCTTAAAGTCAGAGACCAAATTTCACATCCATACAGAACCACAGGCAAATTTATAGTTTTGTATATTCTACTATGTATGTTTTTGGTCAGCAGACGAGAAGAGAAAAGGTCCTGGACTGAATGGTAGCAAGCATTACCCGAGTCCACTCTCCTCCTAATTTCCTCCTGAATCAGGATTTGTTTTTTTATCATCGTTCCCAAATATCTGAACTGTGCCACATTTTCAAAACATCTGTTAGCTGTCTTTAAGTCATGATTTTGCCCTGCATTTTGGCGACGAGACAGCAACATATACTTAGTTTTCTCTGTGTTTTCTTCAAGGGACAGAGGCTATTAAGTCAAAACTAATCTACGACCGGCGGTTTACCGCCAATTTCGTCCTGGCGCCAAACCCCTTAAGACTCACGATCAGAGATTTTTCTAACTTAATCCTTTCGATCATAATTCTTGTGTAACATTCTTTCTGACAAGAATATTGCTTTGTCTCTTATGAATATGCTTGGCCTTTTATCAAGTGTACGTATCGTACATATAGCGTGTTATTGACAGTTCTTCTTTTGCACTGTATTTGCAAAGCAGAACATGTCTGTCTTACGTATCTTTTGCTACAACGGCAACTTAGTCGCTTGAACGGTCGTAAGCTTGACCGCCGCAGNCACGTATCGCACATATAGCGTGTTATTGACAGTTCTTCCTTTTGCACTGTATTTGCAAAGCAGAACATGCCTGTCTTACGTATCTTTTGCTAAAACGGCAACTTAGTCGCTTGAACGGTCGTAAGCTTGACCGCCGCAGAATTTAAGTCTCTTATAACAAGTTTTTTTTTATAATTGCAAATTAGCATATTCTTGTTAAAGTTATTGGACTTTGTTATATCACTTTCTGAGTCGGCACACATAAACAAATCTATCATAAAATCCATTGAGATTTCAACGAAAAAATTTTATATGCATCATATTGGTCACAGTGAGCTTTTTTTTTTATTGCTAGTGGGGTGGGACTAAGTCCCTTGTACTTCGGCCACTTCTGGCCTATTTTACTAGCCCCAGATGATAGGTGAGGGTGATTGTGGAGCAATTGGTGGAATGAAGATTGGCAAGGGAAACCTCATCGGGGATCGTCTCTCTTGTCACCTTAATGTGTTTCATCCAGCTTCACACTTCGACGTCGAAAGAGGAAATGCCTCCAGAATAATCCCCCAAACGTACGCAAAAATTGCTCTGGATATTCTCTCCTCCGATGGAATCGAGTCTTCTTGCTCAAGAATGTGTCTCGAGGGCAAGGAGTTTCTGAAGCAGAGCTTGAGAGATATAGAGCAGAACTGCGCATGTGCACTCCATTTCAGATTTTCTCTTTGTATTCATGTTTTATTACTCCCAGTTTTAAACAGCAATTCTCTCCCTGAGTCTCATAATAGGGATATAGTTGAGGTTGCCTCATCATGAGGTAGTGACGTAGATCCTTACGTCATCATTACAAAGTTACTGCATCATTTTTTCAAAATATCGTAGCGTGTAGAGCCGTTACTAAGTGACGACCGGGAGGTAGGCGAATGTACCAGAGACGTTTCTAGGCAACGGCTCTGTTAACACCTTCGCGCCTCAACAAATCGACGCTCAACAGTAGAGCTACTCTTGGAAACAGGGTGTTTTTACGTAGTATGTGCCGATGAGTTATCTTGAAAACTGGGGAGACCCAGTCAGTTCTGTACGGGATTCTGTGAAGAGAGGACTTGAGCACGTGAAGTTGAAAAATCTGTTAGATGCCGTTACCAATGAACGACCTGTGAAGACACAACGGGCTACAAAATGCTTAACGGGTACTATGGTGATTTGTGGATTACGGAGACCAGCGGTGACCGTGTAATTGCTTGTAATTCCGAGACTAGTGTTTATAAATTGTCAATAAATCCATTCACCAATCCATACCCCGTCTATAGTCTCACACATAACACGTGATAATACAATAGGAAAGAACCTTTCGAAATTGTTAAGAAATTTCGGTAATGTTGCATGTGATGTCCTCACGATGATGTTTGTTGAGTGTACGATCTCTGGAAGAGAACGCGACATTTCAGAGGAATATACCGCCTCCATCTTCAGGATCAAAGGTTAAACCATGCAAGGAATTAGCAGAAGGTGACATGCTGAGCCGGTTACTTGGCTTGCGAAACAGAAGACTGACTGTGGTTCCCTCGCTCTCCTTATGAACTGTGTTTACTATTGGTCATGACATTTGGAAAATGTGCAGTGGGGGCAGCAGGCGGCAGATCGTAACATTTTCAATCTTCACGTGACCCGAGTCATAGACTCCCATTAGGTAGCGGCCGAAAACACAGCGCCTTCCCTACCTGTTGCAACCCTTAAAAACAATTATGTTTCCCCATACATAGGAGCCGGGATAGTGCAGTCAGAATACGGCTTCGGGATGGACGGTTGAGGGGTCGGAGTTCGAGTCCCGGTAGAATCAAGAATTTTCTCTTCTCCGCGTGGTCCAGACCGGTTCTAGGGCCCACCCAAGCTCCTTTCTAATGGGTAATGGGGGTTAAGTGGCCGGATCATGAAGCCGACCACTTATCTCCTACTAGTTTCGAGGTCAAGAAAGCGTGGATCTATACATCCACTCCCCCTTGTCTTCTTTGTGCAGTGTTTAATTAGCTAAGCACAAGGACATAGTTACCTTAACCTAAAATTTGGCCACACAGTGTATTTATGTGTACCGTATTATGCGATGAACAGCAATAACCGGTTGGTCTTTGTTCTGGAGATGAAATGTGTTTCTTGTGAAGCACGAACTGAACTAAATTATTTGTTGTTGAGATAAATTTCAGGCTTCAGCGAGATAATGTTGTATTGTATTTCTAGTCTGCATGTAATGTCCAAGTTAACTATTTAAGACCGATTGGCCGCTATATGTACCACCTGTTGTAGCCCTTACGAGCTCTGTATTTTGCGCACACAATATTATTCATGCTTTCCCTATGATTCTGACAGTAGGCAGAGATTATTCCCCTAAACAGTATTAACTTATTTTGTAAGGTAGACACGTAATGTTTACAATATTATATTTAAGCATCCTGTTACACTCACACAATATATATGAGACAACTCCGTCTTAAGTGCAACAATTTAATTCTCCTTCTTCTTTCCTTCCTCTACACTACATGTTTCGGCTCTAAATGGCCATCATCAGGTGTATATTCTTACGTAGCTGCTACACTGCCCATAGTTTAAAATTTAAAACACCAGTCTTTCCAATTGTATGTATGTATAAAATTTTTGTTAACCTACACACGTCAATTTGATTTCCAAAATTGGCACTTTTTAAACTTCAATTCAAATTAAAATATCTTCAAATGTTCCGTTCTTCTTCTTTTTCCAAATTTTAAAAATTAAAATTCCTCGGGGTACTCGCCCTATGTCTATAGTGCTGCAGCGGCCACTTCTTGTTTTATCGCTGTTCAGGTATTGTTCTGTGTAGGCTCTCTGCGCGTGTGCCGCTGCCTATCTTTAATACGTGTGCTACGTAAGAATATACACCTGATGATGGCCATTTAGGGCCGAAACATGTAGTGTAGAGGAAGGAAAGAAGAAGGAACTACAATTAAATTGTCGTACTTAAGACGGAGTTGTCTCATATAACGTAATGTTTCCTGTGAGGTACGAACTGGATGGTTAAATATTAATTAGAGGGAATTATTTTGCAAAATCTCGCTAGAGAGAATGTTACGTAAGGACTATAACCGCAAGCGTTCAGTTGTGGGTCTCAATGGTCATGACACCAGGACGAACTGATTGGCGGTAAACTGCCAGTCGCAAAGTAACTCTGACTTTGACTGACTTGCAAAACGTGGGAAACTTGTAATGAATCTATGCTCCTTCTCCCTCCCCACACGTAACAAGATGTCTCTCTTCTCCCACGACTTATCGCTTTTCACTACTCTTCTGCTATACTTTCTATGTTTCTCACCATCAGTGCATAAAAATTCGCAATGACGCATATAATTAATAACATTATTCGCATCTTGTGACTGGCAAAAATCAAAAGAAGGTATTCATTTCGGGCCCACTAACAATACGGAGTGACAGTTACAGCTACTCTGCAGACAAGCCCTGCTTCCTGCGTCAATGTCGGACTGGTAATTAGTAATTAGAAATTAGAGCTGCATTTGAACTGGGTGCTCTACTCCTGACACAGTGTCTCCTTGTGATTGCAGACAGCAATTTCGTGCTCGGCAACGCCCAGGTACCGTCCCTGTACCCCATCGTGTACTGCTCGGACGGTTTCTGTGAACTGACAGGCTTCGCTCGTGCTCAGATCATGCAGAAGGGATGCGCCTGCAAGTTCCTCTACGGGCCCGACACTGCCGAAGATCACAAGATGCAAGTGGAGAAATCTCTCGAGTGCAAGACTGAACTAAAGCTCGAGGTCATCTTCTACAAAAAAAATGGTGAGTGATTTTTGAATACCTGAAAGGGTGAATGGTATGTTCTTGGATGTGATCCCGTGTAGTCTGGTTGCTTCTCGTTATATAAGTGGCCTGATGTCTGGCATTGGAGATGGGGGTACCACGTTCTTTCCGAAACATCCGTATAATTACACAAGATTATAAGGTGTTACACGTCAGTACACTTCAGAGGCATCCCCGCCACTTCATGACGGCCACAATTACTGAGAATTGTCTGGTTGCCGTACCAGACTCTCTAATATATTTTGCACAATTGAAAAATTTAAATAAATTATTTTTAAAAATTTTGGAGATCGTGAAGGTTGCTGTTTTCTGGGATGTAACGCCGTGTAGTGCGCTATGTCTTTGCCAGCGTCTCATAAGGAACTCATGTCTCAAACTTGAAGGATACATCAGGTTTCTTCAAATTTTTGGTACCTCTCTACCAGACTTCACTTCGTCTAATCCCACAAGACAGTTAATCTTTATGACGCAAGTTATATCAAATTTGAGGTCTTCGTGGCAAAAAATATATACAGAATGGGGCGCAGAAACTTCCTTTTTGAAGGCGAATAAAAGAAAAATTATTGCTGATAGACAAAATTTATGTTTAGCTAATGAAAGAACATACTTTAAAGTTTTAAATCATGTAGTTTTAAACAAAATATCTTGAAGGTGGTGGCCACCGTTCTCTATGCACTGATGCAACCGTTTTCTGAAGTTCTCCTCTGCACGTTCCAACATGTGCACCGGAATTTGGGCTACTTCCTGCCGAATAACATTCTTCAGCTGAAGCAGGTTTGTGGTGCGATGTTTAAAAACCTGTACCTTGAGGTATCCCCATAAAAAAATCACAGGGCGTTAGATCAGGTGAGTGCGCTGCCCACGGGATGTCACCTCGAAGCGAGATGAGCCGTCCGGGGAACTTTGCCCTCAAAACTGTCATCGAANGCTTAATTCCGAGGTGAGTACGGAACGCACGCTGCACCGCCAAGTAGGAACGGTTTTCAAAAAATAGGCTTCAACAGCAAACGCACGCTGCTCACTTGTCCACCTCATGTTTCCTACTGAGGGGTATTAGACAGAAACTTCCGCGTCTTCTGCTTTCACCAAGCCTATCCCCACTTTTCTGCGACCTCCCCTCCCTTCACAATGCGTATTCACAAAAAGGAAGTTTCTGCGCCCCACCAAGTACTTTCTCATGTTTTGGTTTATGTCACCATCTAGTCCGGTAGATATTTACCATTATTTTCCTGTGTTCTTTTCATCTCAGGAGACTTCTTCTGCCGTAATGATGGAGGCAGATAATACCTGTACATTTCTGATAACCACCAACCAGACTACACGGCATCATAGCCCTAAAATATCTGAACCTTGGTATGTTTCTCACAGTTTCAAAAAGTTATAAGTTTATTCACCAACGAGCGCTCTGTCAGTATCGGCCTCAACATGCAATATCCTCACTGTATGCATGTGCTTAGTATTTCTACTGTTTGCTCTGCATGCGGTCGGCTGCTCGCCATCCGCTCTGTTTATTTTGTGTCCTCACACGAGAGATGCGCCCTGGGGAGGAAAGGGAGGCTACAGAATGTCATGACGTTGAAATATCAATGAGCCAATACTAAATTCATTCTTGAAGCCTGTCTCATTCACCGGGAAATGATAAAGAAGCTTCTATTTTGATAGACATTCAACATTAATTGACTTTATCGCGTTATCATGCGTTGTTTGAGCGACGCCAGTGAAACAAACGCATAAAGCGGAAATCATGTCTGTCTCTCGGCATGTTTCAACTGGAGAGTATCTGGAAGGATTTTTATGTAATCTGGTATGAAAACTGTGTCACTGTAATCATCTCCAAGCCCGCGAATTATTCCGGCTCCTGCTGTCTTCTGTATAGACTGCACGCATCAGTAGGGCGTCGGAGAAGTTGCCGCTTAAATATGACAGGGGTATCATGAGGACTAGATACGTTCCCCTAGGAACATTTAGTTTGCGTAACATGTTCAGGTACACTGCTAACTATACATATCACCTTCTTTAACCATATGAAAATCTGCCATTCTGCCCACGCAGTGTATTTAAGTGTTCCGCATGATTCTCACAATAAACAGCGCCTATATCCCTAAACAGCATTAACCGGTTGGGCTTTGTAGTGGAGACGTAATGTGTTTCCTGTGAGGTACGTGCTGAACTCTGCATTCTGCCCACACAGTGTATTTATGTGTTTTAAAGGAACAGGACACACAGGGTCTAATGTTAGGGTTCGCGTATTTAAGCCGGAGTGCTGGCTAGAAGTCAGTTTGTATCCGGAAGGTCCTGAGACCGGCCAGCTCGACCAAGGTTTTCCGTGGTTTTCCTCGGTACTAGAGCAAATGCTGAGTTGGTACCCAATTCCACGTTGCACTGCATGCCTCACATGCAGCCCTCCCATTGTTAACATCAAAATTTCGCCTTAATATAGCCCTCCCAACGTTAGCAAAAACAAACAAACAAAAATCAGATTATATGCTCTATCTTTACCAGAAGGACAAGCGGGCACTGCCTGGGAACCTTCAAAA